GCGGCACCGACTCGAGCCCGGGCCGCTTCTGCGCGAGCAGCAGGATGTTTGCGCCCGTAAAGTCCGCCATAGTGACCCGCACCTGCTCCCGGCGCGAGCCGCGTGAAGAGGCGCCGTTCACAAGCCGCGCGCACAAGGTGGGGCTCCGGCGACGCGACGCGCACCGCCGCCGCGTCGGTGAGCGTAGCGGGGTCGATGCGCTGCATGCCTCCGCGAAAGGCGCGCGTCGAGTGGCCGGCGGCGAGGAGGGCGGGAGCCGTGCGGAGGGTGAAGACCTTGCGCGCGGGAAAGGGGGGGGGGGGGGAGGGGGAGTCAATGACGACCTCGGAGGCGTGGCGGTGGTGCAACCTAACCGATCAACGAGTAGACCGATTGGGCGGGGCGGGGGTGGCACCTCGGAAGAGGGCCCTGGCGCGAGGGAAAGATCCCACACGCCGGGCGCCGCCTTGAGCTGGAAGTAGCCTACCACACCGTCCAACCAACGCTCGGCCGCCGCCGCGGCTCGCCGGTGCGTCGCCGCCTCGGGAAGGGGGCGGGGGGGCGGGCAGGGAAAGGGCGGGGGGGCGGGCAGGGCGCGCGCCCAAGTTGGACATGACGAGTGTGTCGGTCGCGTGCGGCTGTGCGGTCGTCCCGAGCAGCAGCTGCAGCCCGTTGGGGGGGTGGCGCGAGCCGACGTCCTCGCAGCTGCCCGTGATGAGGAGCGACGCGAGCTCGTACACCGCGGACACCGTCCGACGGTCGCCTAATATCGACATCCTCTCGGCGTCGTCTCGACACCATCTCGACGCCTGGACGGCCTCCTCCGCTCGCCCAGCTCGGCGAGCCGCAGGTTGTCCATGTCGTACGCCGCCTCGGTGCACTCGAGCAGCCACGCCTCGGGTGCGTCCACGTGCAGCGTCAGCACCTGTGGCGTGCGCAGCGACGAGAAGAGGGCGCGGTCGAGCTGCGGGCTGAGCGATCGGCCGGCGTTGTCGAAGCTCGGCTCGAGCGACACGACGTACCGGTAGAACGACTCGAGCGGGAACTTGTCGATCTGCAAGCTCGGGTTGAGGTGCAGCGTGACGGAGAGGCCTAAAGGGGGGGGAGCCTGCGACTCAGCAACCAGACAGCGGAAGGCGGGCGCGGCGTGGCGGAGGGACCGAACGTCTCGGGCAATCTCGGGCAATCTTGGCAATCTCGGCTCATATCGGCTCATCTCGGCTAATCTCGGGCCGAGCGACTCGTGCAGCGCCATCAGGATGGGCACCGCGCGCTGCGCCTCCTTGGAGAGCGGGTCGAGCACCGCCGTCAGCTCGAGCGCCTGCAGCAACTCACGCCGAGGTCAGCCGGCGCCGGAGAGGCCGAGAGCGGCACCAGCAGCCCGCTCGACGCGCCTTCCCCGGCCCGGAGCCCGCCAGCTGCACGCACGCCGCACCGCACCCGAGGCTCTCGGGTCGGAACGCCATCTCGCGCACCCCTCCGGCGGCCGCCGCCGCCTGCGCGCCCCGGCTAAGCGCCGCCACCGCCAGCATGAGCAAATCTGACCGCTGGCCGAACTCCTCGGC